TATAATGTGTGTGTGTGTGTGTGTGTAGAAAACTCGTGAGAGTAGCCCAGAGAGTTGATGTGAAACAACAAGGTAGTCAACTGACTATAATAATTTTCAATTAAATTCTGGATGAATATAAAGATATACATGGGGCGTTAAGCAAGTCGATTCAAAATAGCAAGTAATGATAGTAGAGCACACCGTATCGATATTATTATTATTATTCATGTATATTGCTTAAATGAGTGACAAAATAGTAACTGCTGTCATGCACCGACACACTCGAATCCGGGAACAGAAGGCAAATGATGTGTACGCACGTACGATGACTTTTGTAGGTTACTCTATCTACACCTATTAATAAAGACATGATTAAATTGAACCATCGAAACAGAGAAATGGGGTGATCCGCTTCAGATAGCGACTTTCGTCACTCCAGAAAACCGGTCCTTACTTTAGTTGCGTGGGCCAAAAATCCCTGTCCCTATACCACAACAAAGACAATGAAAAATGAAGAAAAATCATTAAAAAATATCAAGGATTATGCCTATAAAATTTAACCAGGATTATATAGGTCCAAAAAGAGGAAGTCATGTTGATAAACATTAATCACTATATTACTATAGCATGGCTGAGCGGTAACTTCAACCCACAAGCAGAAGCTGAAGTGTTGTACGTTGCTTCGGGGTGTTTGTGGTGGTAATGTGACTAACGCCTCTGTATGTCTTTTGGAAAGCTTATTTTTGCTACAAAAAAAGGATACGGAGTGTACCAGACATTGTGCTAAAACTAGGGTATAGAGTATGTCAGGTGTAGAAGACTTACGGCTTCTTTCGTACCATGCGTCTGACACGTACTGACAAGATTTAAGCAAGCAGTAAGAAAAAAAATCGAAGACAGGCAAACCATGACTGTGCAGCCCATTGTTTCTATCGCTTACACAATTATTATTATTATTGTTGTTTACTGAACACCGATCAAAAGATAATAATAATAATAAAAATAGATTTATTGACGTAGGAGGAATAATCGCAGTGGCAATGTGTTGGTAGTGAATATTGTTGACCGATGCTGCTGCTAAAGAATCGTTTAGAAAAACGAAAAGGTTACTGAATTTCGCTGCTAATGTATATACTATGCACTATGTGTCTAATGCTCGCACTTTAATTGTCAAGTATATGTGGGGTCTATACACAAAAATTTTATTTACCCAAACGAATTGTAAATACAAAATACTAATAATAATAATGACTGACATTACGCCATACCACATCCAGTTCGGTATGACCTTTATTTCCTTATAGCCCATATGGGCATAACTAATCTCAAAACATGGACTTTTCGTGAATGAACGGGGACCAATTGAGTTGACATAGAGCTTTTTATTCACCTTCTATGTATGTTATTTAATTGGTCATAACGGTTTTCGCAAAATACATAGTAAAGACAGATCAGTACTTGGGTAATACGGCGAAAACATTATTTAACCTATCGACTGTAATAGTCATAGTAGCGAAAGTGAAAACTGTACGAATTGCACTGAGCATTACGATATGTATAGTAAGTACTATGAAGCAGCACCTAGTGAAGAAAATTCGAAAACATCAACATGGTCATTTTAGCACGATCTGCCGTGACACGCTCTGCGGGACGATCGGTTTCTAAATCACAAAACGAACTGCGGGAATCGACTTAAGAGATATTTGTAATAAGCGTGCGATGTCACGAAGCAAATTTTGTGTTTGGAAAACGGCACTGTTACAATTTAGTTCAATTTTTCATAATTCTAAATCCTGTGATCTCGGAATATTAAAAGAAAAACATCTTACAGACGAGCTGACGTCAATTTATGACACGAACTCAAAACAATTTCACATCCCCATCATGTAGAAGAAAAATTGAAAAAAAAACGAAATTTTAACCAAAGTAAGGAAGTTAAATCTCCATAATTATGTTTATTTACGAGAATAATCAGCCGAATCGTGATGTACGAGTATCTGTCACTTCTATGAGGTTTGAAGTTTAACTTTCTTCGTAGGGTTTGAGAGAACTATGTAAGCTGTTCCTTCCCTGGCAAACCATAACATAATATATATATATATATATATATATATATATATATATATATATGATAGCCTGGTTAGTTGGTTAAATGATTGATGTACACTTGTATATACAACATGTCTCACCCTTCTCTAGGTTCTCGATTTACTGATTTAGGATGATGTCGATGATTATTATTATTCGTGATATAAGCGATAATAATGGTATAAATTGTAATTGAATTATGACTGTGTGTAATTAATATATTATTATGGTATTGCAATAAAATACGAAATCGAGAAAGTTCCAGGTTCACAACGGACAAACTAATACAACATTCACCCTCGTGGTAAGATAATTATGCTGAAAATAATAGTGAAGTAAAATATAGACCAGCAATTTTCGAAAATAATGATGATGACTATTGTTACGTTCAATAAACTTATTTAAATCACCAAAAATGTGTGTTATCATTTGTTCAAACAAAAAGTAGAAACATAGAAACTGAAGTATAAATTCCTTATCAAAAAACAAATTTCATGTTCGCTACAAAATGGAGTTCGAAAAAATATAATAACACAGAGTGTTATGCGGCCGTAAAGTAATTTCTCCGTCGCTGAGTATGTTTTCCTTTCAAAATAAAAAAAACACATTGTGCCCACTGGGCTGCATATTCGATTAATGCTACTGAGAGCTAGCAGTGATAGTGTTAGAATAATTGACAACAACACAGTGATACTTCTGTAACGTCAAAGCACTTTCATTAAGTACCATGTTTTATATCGACATGATCCATTAAGACAGTAACTCGGTTCTGTTACATACAGATCCATACAGGGAGATTATACTGTGCCGTAATAGGCTACTAGCCAGGAGTTGCCATTCAGTTGATTCTTGCTATGCATTCTGTTGTGGTCCTTCTAACTTAAATAATTATGGATCGAACATATAACAGTGATTCTTGCAGAATACACCACCAGCAGAGACATTCATAGCAACTCACAAAAAGCCTTTAGAGAAAATAGACAATTTGGAAGAGTTCAGTCTTCAAGAAACTGACTACATAAATCTGTATTATCTGAGAATAGTCTGCAATTTTCCAAAAATACAAGCCAAATTTTCCTTTTTCAGTACTATGTAAGCACTTTAAAAGCCAAAACAGCGTAATGTGTTCTACACAAAAAATAGCAAATCTGTGTTAATTTAGGTTTCTTCACTAAACAAGGTTTATTTTCAACAATTTTTATAGATTACCATGGCATTTAACGGTCTCTTTGTACAGAAAACTTGCGCCACGATTCATGCCACAGCTGCTCAACCTTTCAGAACACGCGTATACATACATAGAGTCACTGTTTTATACACGTATATATACAACCAGCATACTTGGAATGGAGCGTTTGTTTCTAAATTATTTAAACTGTACCCCATTTATATATATATATATATATATATATATTATAATGTGGTGTGAGCTGAGAATGGTTATAATAACAAACAACGTTTGTTAACTACTGCCATCCTCGTAAGTATGGAGACACCTCTTAATGGGCGAAGTGTGTACATTTGAGTGAGGATTAAGCCAAAAACATTTTCTGTTTCACGAATTCTGTAGCTAATAAACAACATTATGCCCCAACATGCAATATTCGTCAGTAACTCAGCCTAAAAAGGTTAGGTATCCAGTGATACGCTTCTAGACTTCCTCCAGTTGCACAAATGCAGTAGCCGCGTGAATGAGAGATACTTTTCAGCTAAGCTTTATCTTTCATAGTCTTTTTCTTTGAAGTGATAAATGAAGCATAGATCGCTTAGTTGAATAATTATGCCGTGACCAGCCAAACCAGCAATTAGTCAAGTGGCTGTTGTACGAACGGATTTGGTATTTGTTCCATAGAGTCCTGCGGGTGGATAACGATAATGGCTGTCCCACGGCATACGACAAGGCCCAACGAGCGCGTGTCATCCGTTAATTTTAGCGAATCATCTGGGTCACGAAGGAACTCTGTGGAACAAACGAGGACATTTTTAAGAAGGCAAAATATTTTGTTCATAACCATTACCTTATTATTAGTTGATAATATGTACAAAAAGTAACAAAATTAATTATTAACCCTAGTTCGTTTTCTCGGCAAATAACTCCACATAATAATAATTACAGTCCTATTCGATTTTTATGGATGATTATTACTTGAGACTCCGTGTTTCAAGCATTCAAAATAATTTTGGTAGTCGCAACTCTTGTCTGCAAGTAAATGAAATAAAAACCTTTTAAGTCTCAACTGTACCAGGTAAGGTGATCATTGTATTACGTTACTGAACTAATTGTCAACAGCTTCTTATATTACCCTCAACAAATTACATTTTGGTTAACAAGTGTTGTTAGACACTGGTTAACGCCGATGGAGCTAGGAGCAAAGAGGACGTCTACGCTATGTTATGCTTTCACTTGTTATCAATAGCCTTTCTTACCCGTAGTGTTATCGATGACCAAATTAAGAAGCGGGTCAAACCCTTTTAGAATTCCTGTGACTTCCCTGCCACCCTAAAAATGCAAAAAAAATTATAAAAATCCATTTAACCAACTGTACGTAAAAATGATCACAGAATGTTCGTACAATCTTAGCCAAATTATTGCCCTAACTGACTAGGAAATAATGAGTAATATTGTATGGACATAAACGGATCGAAATAAGAGGGTAAACGGATTAATAGATCCAGATACCTATTTTTTGCCTATTTTGCAAAATGATTTCCCTTTATGTTCGAGCATAGGGTAAACTATACCTGAAACTTCACACGAATAAGTTTATCTCTATATTTCGAAAGATCAACAATCGATTCTTTCTTTCGAGGTTTTTGATCACCCTGACCTTGATGTCCTTGATTTGTCGACATCCTGTAATCGCATTAAAAATAAACCAAACGCAAGATTTGATGAATTTATGATTAAATGAGCATGGGCATTTGAAGCGCTGTTACGAAAATAGCTGAAACAACCGGTTCTTTTATGGCTGAAAATAACAAATATATTTTGTACTCTGGATTTGCGCGCTTTTCTTTGGAGTAATTATAATAAATGTTTTAAATTTTACGTCCCTTCGAACTACCGTCACATATTGAGCGCATACCGGGCTAATCACCTTAACGGTGTTATGATTAAATGGACCTGTAGATATAAAACATACTTCTAAAACATACTTCTACCAAGGGTTTCTACAGGATTTCGTTACATTTTAACGCATGTGTGAGTAACTGTTTGAACGTCGTAAGATTGCATGACTTTCTAAACCTTTGTAGCTGGTTATTTTATACGGTCAGTTTTTGCCGTGTACCGGAAATGGGCGCATGTATACGTCGATGGTAATTTTAATCGCATACATACACAGGTATTGCCACAACACTAGGGAACCTCATTAAATATTTGCCCGACAAATTTTTAACGAATTTTATTGTCGCCTAAAACCTCTGTACAAAATGCGACAAAAAAAAGCTTAATTTGTCGTGGTTTTTTAACTCCTATGAGCACTTGGTTGTTCAAGGGCGAGTTAAGATGAGTGGAAAAAGTAAATCTTGTGATCAAAGAGAAATTTTATTTTTATAACTCATGTTGCTTTTATCATTGTGAGCTTCATTATTTCTACTTGTATCCAAAAACAAACGTAGCCGATTTAGCCACCAAAACCTGTATAATGTTACAGTTTTTTTTTATCAATCTACTTGGGTCATAGTTCCATTAACTTACTTGACAACCAACATTGTAAAACGCCAGCTCCACAGGATTTTACGCCGAATAAGTTAACACCTATATGCACAACGCATAATGCATCATTTTTAAGACCTAGCTACAAACCTGATACTTAGTCGAGTTAGCAACCGCCAAGCGAACGACGTATCAGAGAAAGCAGTGCACCAACACTTCTAGCAAAATGGTAAAATCGCCGGAAAATAGCATAGACAGCTTCTCCTAGATTCGAGTTTTGTAAAAGAGGCACTCGGTGTCAACTGGTTTACATCATTTTCGTCTTCGTTTGTTTATAAACAGGATTGAGTTTCGAGCGCGCGAAACAGGGACCTGAAATTCACAATTCGCGCCGAATGTGTAGAATGGATGTCAAAAGTTCTCTTTGTGACACGCTTGTGATTATTTGGCCGTGCATCCGTTCACGAGTTTTTGCTGTCCTATGCAGCTGGCTCGATGAGGTAGTGACCTTCAATTTTCGACAAAATATTCATTGTAAAAAATGCTTTTGACAGTCTCGAAATTTAGTAACAGTCTATTCACATTTGGCAAGAAAGTCCTGTGGGAAACCGCTTTGCATTCGCGTACAATGACGCTCGTAGACGATAATATCAATTTTGTAATAGTATTCCTTTTCAGTTCATGCGCCATCGACGTGTCACTCACTGACAAAAACACTTCCCATTGCGTATTATGAATAATAGCAAAATGTGTCCAATACGCAGAACATACACCTTCGCTTTTGTTGTATAAACAAAAACTTGTTTAGATAAAAATCCAATTTGAAACATCCTTGGCAAAAATCGGCCGGCCGATTATTTATTGCTCGAGGCAAACGTTTATTTTGATTTAGGCGTTAAGTAGCAATACCATGCATCATTTATAACTGGGTGGAAAAGCATATAGTTGCGTTGATTAGGAAATATTTCAAATGGCAGAAATTTTTCCCCAACAATTTTTCCACTCAAATATTCGCGCCTCGTTGCTTCACTAAGCGTCGTTAACCCATGCGCCAATCATAGTGTTGATCGTCTTCTGACGTCATGATTCTATGGTCCAATCACACCTTCAATATACGATGCTGTAGCCTTTGTTGTTTGTTGGCGGCCGCGGAAAAAACAGCAGGCTGAAAATAGCGGCCATCTTCGAGCTTCTGCTAAATCCTGCATGGCATTATATTCTATCTCATGGCGCCTATCCTATTTCGTTCGTAAACAATTTTTTCTTTGTATGAGCTGATGGCCCTGTCGCAGTCGGCTATACGTCTCTTCGTGATATGCGCATCTCAATCACTCTCCCCACACTCGCTCACTCAGTAGTTATGATTGTTTTGTTTATGCGGGCGAACGAACAAGCGTGCGTGCGTATCTGTGTGTGACCGTGTGTATGTGTGTGTGCCTGATATTTGCACAATAGCGAGGAGGCTGGAGGAATGAAAAGTGGCTATTTTACTAGGTTTTGTTTCTGCCCGTGTCTACATCCGCGATACGGGCTGGATGGCAGTGCTGTGCTTATTGGATACCGTAGCGGATGGTACCTGCTTCATTGTCGCATCGTGCCGCTGAAGTACGGCGAATTGTGACGACTGTGAACGAACTAACAAGTCGTTGGTTTGTATGTTGTACATATTTATGTGTGTGTGTGTGTGGCCGTCACTAGCAGCGTTGCCTCGTTTAGCTGCTCAAACCGTCCCTCTAAATAGTGTCAGTGCTATTTGTATTGGCAGTGCCGACTGGCAGCCACTTTTGCTACGATGACCGCGGCAGCCATGGTGAGCGGTTCCTCTGTGATGGCGCTCGTATAGCCGGACAGTGTGGGAAAGACGAACCGGCGAAAGAAGCAGCGATTGAAAACTCAAGTTTATATTATTACAGCTGCTGCACATCGTAGTACTGTTCATAGCGGCAGGCGAAGGGTCCGTGGTAAGTCGGTGTTGGGATAGCAGCGTCGAGGGCAAGCGGTCACATTTGTCAAGGCGAGCGCGCCCGCCGTCATCAGCAGAAACAGGCGAAACTCCGGAACGGGTCGTCGCCGTTGGCGCTACCATTTATGCCGTAACAATTGCCGAGAGCAGGAGTGCGTCATCAGTTGTCGTTGGGCGACTGCTTTCTTGATTCGTGCTGCTGCCGCCGCCGTTGATTGCTTGATTTTGCCGTGACCGCGGCGGCTTGTTGCCGCTACTTGTCCAGTTTATCCGTCTGTTTGTCGGTCGCTTTAGCTGACTTCGGCCGAAGCTGCAACGGCCAAACTTTCGATGTTGTTTCTATGTATTTGTTGCTGCTGCTTTGCCTTTCTGTGCTGAAGTAGCTCGCCATCATCAGCAGCTGAAGGAGCAGTAGCAGTGGCTAACGCTAGCCAATAGCTATAAGAAAGCGGCAAAAGCTACCAAAAGAAGAGACCCTACTGCCACTCGACCGCCTGAACAACCGCCCGCCCGCCCGTCCGTCCGTCTGTCTGTCTGTCTGTCTGTCTGTCTGTCCCTTACCGAAGTGTTTTGACCTCGGCCTTCTGATGCTGGCCATATCACCAGAAACAGCAAATGTTCTATTCCCACTCATTCATTACGTCTCTATTCGCCTGTGACCGACAGACTGGCATGCTCTCACTGGTTCAGTGGTGCTGTCTCCGTTTGTGAGAAAAGAAGTCATCTACTCAATACTACTTGTTCAATGTACAAAACTAAAGGAGACGTCTGCTTAGCTTGAGCGAGATCCTGACGGTAAAAGTTGATGGTGGTGATTTTCTCTCCGCTGCGGCGGGCATAGTTGACAAAATCTGCCTAGAGAATTTCTTTAAAAACAGACGAAATTAGAAGGAAATGTATTGGCCTAGTTAACTTAATCAAATCAAACCAATTTCAAAGGCTATAAATAGAGCTTCGTCTAGATCTCACTCCCTATTGTCTCACAACATACGCTTGTAGGGAATCTGAGCTTGGGCGTTCTAGCTAATGCAGTTATCAGCTTATAGGAATTCGAATACCTTCATTGGAAAGACAGTGAAGTGACGCTGGTATTGGCCTATACCACAACCACGTTAGTACATCGTAGTGTCATGTCATAGAGAAAGAAGGCAGTTTTGGATCGGCGTGTAGGCATACTAAAGGGCTTGTCCCTCTCCCACTTGACCACTCGCATAATCTACCTCGGACAGTTGTAGTCCTATTTTCAGCCTGTTTACGGGAGTTGTTATGTAGTGCGTAGTCAGTAGTGCGGCTCTGACTGAGCGACGGCTGTTGCTGCTACGGACCCGACGATGGACAGCTGATGAGGACGAGAGTGAGAGGAACGCCGACCGTAACAGCAGCGTAGTGGCGACAGAAACAAGTCACACTGTAACAAGACAGACTCTGAGCACCTGCAATTACTTAAAGCAACACCGGTGGCAGCAGCCGCCGCCGCCGCCGCCGCCACCGCCGCCGCCGCGATCGTCGTCGTCGTCGTCGTTGTTGTTGTTGTTGTTGTTGTTGTCGTCGTCGTCGTCGTCGTCGTCGTCGTCGTCGTCGTAGTCGTACCGCTATTTTCCCAAAAAGCAACGATAGCTGCTGCTCTGCCGTAAACGGATCCGTCGATCACAGTTTATGGTATATATATATGAAGCTGCGTGCGCCAACAATTTCTGTACATTTATAACTGTCTGCTACGTAGGGCTGTATATGCAGTGTCATTCAGCTGTGGGTATACTCCAGCGGGAACACGTACGTACCAAATCGGTGGGGCACTGTAGGACATTCGGTTGCACACATCCAGCCACACAGGCCAGACACGCACCGTCCTAGTGGCGACCGAGGTGCCTAGTAGGTGCAACCAAAAGGTGTCGTCTAAATGCGCCAGTGAAACCCCGAGCACTAAACACAGTCTAATTATCAGATCACTTAAATATTTCTCGACTGGCATGAATGAGTGAGCTTGCATTCAATTCATCGTACTATTTGTGACTACTGAAGGGCTGGTTAACCAACTGGTTGAGATTAAGGAACCGTTGGGCTGAATCGAGGAGATATCGCTTGAGAATGCTGTTGCTGCTGCTGCTGCTGTCATAGTGGTTTTCTGGTGGTTCGTGATGGTGTGGAGTTGTCGTAGCCGGTATTGCTCCTGTCGGTTTCGAGTGAAATAGCGGCGAAACGTAGTGGTCGGGCATCGATAGATGAACAACGTCAATTCAACGTCCGGTCTAAGTTCGTTTCACCGAGAAGTCCCTGAGGCTGCGTCAGTACTATATGGTACATCAGGCCGCGTAGCGTACAGGGTCGGGCGCACTGTAAGCAACACTGCACAGTAAATATAGGGTGAATCGTGCTAAAAAGCAGTAGAGGCGAAGGCAATGTTTGCCAGCACCTCGATCTGCGGGTCGGATAAGCAGCAGTTCCTCGAGAACGCCAGGACCGCTCGAGACGAACGCGAAAAAGAACGCAGGTAAGAATTAAGTGAATGCAGCCACATTTAGTAAATACGATGGTTATCATCATTATAAATGTCCACAAATCTATACACTCCTCAGGTCGACCTCAGGAGAGTTTCACCGCACACCTCTTTCCCTCTTTTTGGTTGAGTTCGTGAATTATAAATGACCAAATAAGTCATGATTATGGCAAGTAGTTATTGCTCACAGTTTTTATAGCCATTTTCTATAAGCATATTAATGTATGTAGTGCAACAGAAGGACTGTGCGTTGAATGGACTAGATGCATAGGCTCGCATGGGACGCATAGAAAGGTTTACCTGATAACATACAGCTTCGCTTTCACTATTCATTTTTCGAATGTTGCATCTATAGTCACTGAAGAAATCACATATGGTCAGATAGTAGTTGTTTTATTAAAACTGAATCTTTTCAGCACGGTGATCCCCCTACGATGGGCGAAAATGCTCATTTTACAGGTATAGAATATAGAGTTCTTTATGCATAAGCTGTTAAGTAGTATAATATGTGCTTTTATTTGTTCTGCGGTTTGACCTTTGTTAAAAGTCTATTTACGATTGGATGTAAACAGTGCTAAACTCAAAACTAATCAAGTCCATACCACTTAATTTTTTTGGTCTGTATCACTGTAGGGCAAGATTATTTAAAGACTGCCTTTATTTCGATCTATGACGCAAGCATAGACAGAAATCCTATAAAAATGTACTATGTGTCATTAGATGATACGATGAAATATATCTTACACAAAGATAACGCAAAAAATTGTATCAATTTGCGCGTGTGACATCGGGTAGCACCTCGATCATCAATGTATGTTTCTTGATCATCATCTAATTGGATCGAATGTGAACTCCTTCCCTTAACAGTCCTGTCCCCTGAGCAAAGTTCTTATCGGCCAAAACTACTAAATGAAAAATGCCATGAAAGACTGCAACTGATCTCCTTCCTTCTTTAAAAACGATTAAACGTTAGTGTATTATCCACATTGACCTCTTTACATGGTTCCATGGACCCCGTGCTTTCCATCTACATTCAGTGTAGTTCTGTATATGGTGCGCGACCGGTTGACAGAGCAGTTATCGGCTGAGCGTCAGGGGAAACCCGTCCTCATCGTGGCGTGGAAATCCATTAGCCTTTTTGGGATCTCTCGCTGCAGTGAATAGCTATAATAATCTTTACCGAGTCTGCCTGCAACAGATCAACGGATAGATAATAAACAGAAGCAGGCATGCTTTGTGGCGGTGCTGCCCTGTAAACAGTGGCCTCCTTGTCGGGCTCGTCTTGCTTGGAGTCACCCTCGCTCACCTCGGATGTATCCGTCTTAGTTGTGTGATGCTTATTCGGCATTATATCCCATATCGGGCGATATAATAAGCCGCTGAATCTATGGCATGAGGCCACATGAGGAGTAACTGTACAGGAGGAGAAATTCGATATGTGTAATCTATATGATAGGCGATCCTACGATAATTTTTTTTATCTGGAGTAGAATATACTGTTCGTGTTTTTTGTTGGTTAGCTACACTAGCCCATGCTGATTGATGGACTGCCGGGGTAGAACCATATTTTTGTCTACAGAACTTAAACGATTTCTGGACGTCTTTGCTATCTTAATATGCTATCGTGGTGATAGAACCGAGCTTATCCTTCTAGCCTAATGTGAGACTCAAGGTGACGTTTTGTGATTGACGCAGCTTGAGGTATGAACATCACTTTTGTTTGTGATAATTGCCAATTATGAGTGAATTCCTTTAATGGACAGAGGGCTGGCACTTCCATGCATATGTGCGGCTTTAACTAGAGTTTCCTGACTGCCATCCACTATATTTACACCTTCTTTTGACCCTGATCCTGATTTGGTGTTCGTTCTAAACACAATTTCGACCACAGAAAAGGATACTTTTTAATCTACTCACCTTTTGAGAGAAGTACACCTTATCTGAAAGCGGCATTCACATATTCTTACTTTAGAGGATTTTTGTCAAAAGGCTCCATCATTAAAGATCAAAAAGGTAAGAGTAACGGTGTTGCTCTTCCTGCATTTTTACATGAAGCGACGTTTCATAAGCCAAAAGCTTCGTTGCTCTATATCATTTAAGTTTAGAGAAAGATTTACATAGTTTCAACCAAATATCACTTGGCTGTCCTATTCAAAATGTGCCCTTTAGTGATTTGTGAAACCAGATCACGATAAGAAAACAATCGATGAACTGTGAGGCCCTCATGTGCTTCCACCCTGACGCTCAGCTTAGCTAAACACTGAATGAATGAATGAGTTATAAATGTCGCACTAGTGCACTAACTACCGTCGATAATGTATGTGTGCGCGTGCAGATGATATTTATCAACGCTGTCATTATCCGCGCACAAGGTGGCGAGTTATTCCAGCCTTTGCTGAGTTAAGTCAAAGATCACCCGAACTACCATTACAAAGGTTACTTCAAAGGTAGATGATGCTGATGATAATGACGAGGTGATTGTATTTAGCATAAGAACGAAAGGAAGGAACAATGGAAAGGGAGAGTTATAAATGATCAGTGATTCGATCAGTAACAGAAATTTTAATTAAAGCGGCAAAATCGTTCATCAGTAGCGCCATAACAGTGGTGGTAATTAAGGCTGATAGAAATTAGCTGGTACTCTGATGAAACTTTGAGAAAAACGCACTGCTTTAGAAACATTCGCCATTTTAATGTGAAAATACAGGCCGTAGGTTTCCCATTACTCGACGTCGAACAAAATGGAAAATATGGAACCGTTTTAAAGAATTCAGTCGATTTCATTGAATTTATCGTCGACTGCAGAATAACATCTGAGGACGTATTGCGCATTTAGATTAGGTTTTTGGGGTTCATCCTGAATAATTGTTTACTTATCGATAATCGCTACAAAGAGTTGCATCGGTCATGTTGTTAATACATTGACGTAAGGAGTAAACTCTTTTGATCACGCGTAATCCGTTTGCTTCTCACAATTTGCATATAACTGCGTTATGTGCATGCACGCATGCGGATTTGAGTTTGCATGCGAAAAGAGCTTAACCAGTACGATGTGGGTTTTAGAAGACCTTTACAGATTTGCCTATTTAGTAGTAGATACGCTTACTAACGTAGGATATTAACTAAAGATTTAAGTAACCTATTTCTTAGAAACAATATTCACTCTCATATTGGCTACTGTGTGACTGTTCTATTCTGTCATACCGTTCCTCAGGTGAAGGTAGTTTAGGCTGAACGTATCTGGGTTCCCTTGACGGTCCTCCAAAGGTCTGCTCTGATATATAATAAGAATTTAATACTAGAGCTGTCAGGACTTCGGACATAAACAAGAGTGCTAAATATTATTTAGGATTAACATTATGTAAAAAATATATTCCTTCAAATGATATTAGTTCTTTACATCTGCAATCTCAATAGCTACACATTCATTATATAGATCGTAAAATAATTGCATTTGCATTGCAAGGTAACAAAATGTATAGCACGTAGCTGTTTGATTGAAAAGGTGCATGGTATTTTCTTTAGTCTAACTGCGGTCACACCCATTGTAGCCAAGCGAATACGCATACATGTGTTGTTTTAAACCGCGAGAGTCGCTATATGTAAATTCATCTTTATTAGTTTTCTGTATTGGATTAAGCGAAGCATTATCTTTACGAAACACTTGTCATGTTTCTAGTTACGAGGGTGGGGTACAAGCTAGAATTAAATTATAGTGCAGGTTCGTCAAGGCGGAGTCGCTCCCCTCGTAATAACCTGCTTGAGTTTGCTCTGCTAACTTCGCAATATTTGGTCCAATTTTCTTCTTGCTTTTGTGCTCCAGAGGAAAAGAGAATGACCAGAGCGATACTTGGAGCTCTTGTTTTCCAATATTGGTTTGTTTGTACTCGCGTTTTGTTTGGGTTTGCTAATAATGTTCGTGTCGACAAAAAATATCTGAGTGTTGTTTTTACGCCCAAAGCCTAATGTCAGATTAGGCGAATAAGTGACTAAAAAACTTATCCAGTAACGTATACTCCCTACAGTTAATTGCTGTGAAAATACATTTACCAAATGATAGCCTTGTAGATCTGATCTTGTATAGAGAGTGCCATTGTTTGGATGAAGAGCGTAGCGTCTTCGCTTTGACGAACATGTTCTAACGGGGGCGCCTGGGTTGATTTATTCGGTTTCAGGTAGTCCACCGACCTTCTGCTACCGTTACTCCTCGCGATTCATCACTCCACCATCCATTGAGATACTGAGATAAAGATAGAAAGAAAAAGTGAGAGAGAAAAGGGAACGAAAGTGTACGAAAGGATTTGCAGAACGTATACGGAAGTGTCCTTAATGCATCTTAGGATCTCATAAGCGACAACCCAAATAAACTCAGGATAAGTGTTGATTGGTCACCAATTTTTGGTGATCCGTTTGCTCATCGCGGATATTGTCTACTTTATACAGACATGTCAACTTCACCTGGATCGCGACCTCCTGCGAAACCGCGGCCACTCATGCGAAAACGAAGCCTGGGTGTGGTTCCATCGGGGTCAGATTCTTCCTCAGATTCGTCGCTCGATTGCCCGATTTGTTATAGCCTGATTCAGGATGCATATATGACAAAGTGTGGTCACTCGTTCTGCCACGACTGCATTAAACGCTGTCTCGAAAAGCGCCCGTTGTGCCCTCTGTGTTCGTGTGATTTGATCGATAACGATGGAAAGGAGCAGATCTTCCCCAATCGGTCACTCAATGAGCTGGCAGTTCGGGCGATGAAAAGCGAGAAAAAGCCACGATTGGGCGGGCCTGAGCTGGGTAATCGAATTCTCGAGATACTTGCCACTGAAAAGGATGTGAGCGTCAGCGACGTTGACCAAGCGCTTAGTGTGCTACAAATGAGAAAACGCCAAATGGAAGCTACCTCACGAGAGGTACAGTTAACTCTGCTGCGCGAATTTCTCGACCACTCATATAAAGTGAAGCATGATGAGCTCAATCGTATTAAAACTGATATTGCCTTGCTGGAACAGGATCTCTCATTTCTCAATACGTTCGACAAGAACGCTGTCGACTGGAGACTCGCAGATGTCGGCCCTCCTCACTCGATCCCGACGACGTCAATTAAAGCATTGCTACCGGCAGGTCGCATCGCAGAGTCGACCGACGATGGTCCTGGTACTAGCATTCAATCAGTTTTATCACAGCGGCGCTTCAGAATGCATGCACATTTCCAGTGTCTGGAAGACTGCTACTTTTCGGCACGGCAAGTACCCCGTGATGAAGGTTCCGCCTCACCCGAACCACAACAGCCGGTCGACGCATCAAATACTGTCGACATGCCGGTACCGGCTCGAAGACTGCGTCCACCCCGCGGACTCGAGCGATTTGCCGAAAGCCTAACCAAGTTCACGCGTTACTCACAACTGCGTTCATTAAGCACGTTGAACTACGCCTCGGATCTACTCAATAGTACAAGTATTGTGTCGAGTATTGAATTCGACAAAGATAACGAGTACTTTGCTATAGCGGGTGTTACCAAGCGAATAAAAATGTTTGAGTATTCAAGGGTGATACGCAACGATGTCGACATGCACTATCCCATCAACGAGATGATGTGTAGCTCAAAAATCAGCTGTATATCGTGGTCTAGTTACCACAAAAGTATGCTGGCTTGTAGTGACTATGAGGGGACAGTAACACTGTGGGACGCCTACCGAACGCAGAAGATCAAAACGTTCCAGGAGCATGAAAAGCGATGTTGGTCCGTTGACTTCAACAAGGTCGACACGAAGCTTTTAGCATCAGGTTCCGACGATACGAAAGTGAAGCTATGGGCAATCAATCAGGAGCACTCCGTAACATCAATCGAGGCTAAAGCGAATGTGTGCTGTGTACGATTTAATCCGGATTCTATGTACCACCTAGCGATGGGTTCAGCCGATCATTGCGTACACTACTATGATCTCAGAAATTGTAAGACCTCGTTGGGTGTCTTCAAGGGACACAAGAAGGCTGTATCTTACGTGAAGTTCCTAAATGCCAAGGAGCTGGTTTCAGCGTCAACTGACAGTCAACTGAAGCTATGGAAAACTGACGATCCAGAATGTCTTCGCTCGTTTACAGGACATGTAAACGAAAAGAACTTCGTAGGCTTAGCTACAGACGGTGATTACATCGCGTGTGGTAGCGAGAACAACTCACTGTATATTTACTACAAAGGTTTATCAACGCAGATCCAGACGTGGTCGTTCCGGACGGCAGGCGGCGCTCGAGAAGACGGCACGGTTCCTGTGGCGGCTGCTGGTGAAACTAATGAATTCGTATCAGCCGTATGCTGGATGTCTGGGAGTACCGTTGTTGTTGCAGCCAACTCACAAGGAACCATTAAGCTACTAGAACTCATTTAAGTTTAAAAGTCGTCTTTAAACTATATAAATAATGACTCACTACTGTATCCAACAAGGCATTAAGGATGAGCTTCAAAAAGGCTTGCCTGGTTTTGCTAGTGAAATTAATGAAACGAATGTTACAAGATACACTGATAACAATGAGCATTCTTATAACATCAGCAAACTGGGATAAATTAAATAAGGATAATTGAATCCACAAACTGATACAGTAAATGCGGTCAGGAGTACTTTATGGCCGCGGATAGAAACACAAAAACACCAGCGGAGCAATGTCAATGGGTGATATGTGGATGATCGACAGTCATACTGCATTTTCTGAAAAAACATTTTTGCGATTTTTATGCCGCTGGCCTAGACTTTTTAAGTGCGTTGCACCACGTTAAGGAATGGCATTCCAGTAGCATAAATGTTAAACATTATGGAGGCGGAAGGAGGAACGCTGTAGTAGCGGTAGTAGTTAATGTATGCCATATATATAAAGGCAAACCTAATCGGAATCGAATTGTTCCACCTCTTTCAGCTCTTTCGAATTTCTCCATATATATATGTGTTTGTGGAGAAGACGCAAATATATTTAGTAGAATGGACGACTGCATGTGAATACGTAAAGAAATGGAACTGTATTTACACAATTGTCGTTGCGAGTGAGACAAGGCTTGCTTTTACATTCTGATAATGATGAATGGAACGGGTCAGTTATATGACTGATTTTATGATCATATTACCTTTAAAATATATGAAATGCTTAACTAGATAGTGAAACAAGTATATATATATAAACTTTTATGTACGTTGGTTATATGTAACGTTGTATAGAACCGGTGCACAATTTTAAAATGAGAACAAATTAAACATGATGTTCTATGAAAATAAACTGTGCAGTTGTTAAAATATCCGTCTCTGAGTCATCGTTGTTAACACCCTAATGCTTGTATGTACGTGAGTGACGAAGGGTTTCGTAGCAGAGAAAAGTATAATAGTTAGCGGTACACAATTAAACATTTTATATTTACGTGAAAAAGATGATCTTTCATGCTGGCTGTTGGTATATATTGGTGAACATTAATAGTTCTAATACAATCGGCGTATTATGTTCGATCTTTTATAAACGAATAAACCTTTTCTTATTTGCATTTCAACATTCAAAACTTTAGCATTAATAGGAATTGACGAAACCGTAATACTCGATATGCCTAGCGAACTCTATAGGAAACGACGAGAAAAAAAGAAACAAGGAAATAAAGAAACAAATCAAAGAATATTGAAAAGTCTAAGAGCAGTACACTTGCTTGTTGCTTTGAATAAACAAGCACTGAAGGGAGAGTTAATAACCTTCGAGATGAGGTTATCAAATGAGGGTCAGTTTGCAACTCAATGCTAATAGTTAAAGATATTTATTTTTTATTTAGCGACAAAACAGATATAAATATATACTAGAAATATATATTATTACTTATTAATGTGTGGGAAATATAGGCTAATTTAGGTAAACGTCACAGGAACCCATTTAATTATATAATTTGGATAAGCTTATGGCCCTGGTATTCTCATATATCTTTGATACATCTTCGATATATTATATTGTACTTGATATTAATATTATTTATATTATATTATTGAATTAATATTGTTTTTGTTAGATGCTATAATTAAAAGATTTTCAATATAAATCATGCCACCTATATAAGGAAAGTAGTTTTGAAATTTTCACGGAATCTGTTAAATGCCATGTTGAAATTGATTAGTCGAACAACGCTGGTATTACTATTTTCGTATGTTTTTAAATTTGGTACTGGTTGGGACAATTTGATTATCCAAGCCGTTCTGCAACCATCAAATAAAAGAGACTATTTATTCCTATAAAAGTAACGGATAGTTATCTGGCGAAGTGTTCTTGCTTTCACACTACCGAGTCCTTATAACTGTTCGACACACGAAAAACCGTTAAACGCTTTCTGAAATGGTATTACAGACGAGAAGACGCAGCCACTCGAATCAACTCTGTGGTGCGAGGCTTTCTTGCGCGTCGTCATGTGGGACGTTGCACCAGGGAAGAGTTGGATTCATTCCTGGCGAGTGAAGAGCCCGCGAGTGCCGCACAGCTTTACTATAATGCAAGGTTTGTTGAAAAGATTCCCAAAATCTAAAGTTCTATTCGTTTTTTTCCCTTTTTTTTCATAAGAGCGTCAGCGCTGCCTTAAAGCAAAGATTGATAAACTCACAGCTTCTTCAAAATGCGTTCGTATTATTAGCCTAAAAGCGGGCTGCAATAAGAAAGTCTATAGTCCCAGTTATTATACGTGAAATTTTAACTCGGATATTTCAGGAAGTTGATGTACTTTTATGTTTGGCTGGAGCCTAACACTTCGGGTGAACTCGGCAAGGATAATGTCAGGCTACAAGCGATGTGTTCTCGTATAATTAACTCAATGGAAGGCACCTCCAAAGACCAGGTATCACGATTTCGATGTCGAACTTCCGCTAAAATAGAAAAGCGTAGGAATCAAATTGTAAAGCAGGAAAATCGGATTCGTCAATTAAAAGAAAAAAAAAAAAAAAGATTCTTATTAAGATTGTACATACGATAATCAAAATATATGACTATTTTTCGGAATAATCATGGATTATTATGCTAATTGCAGAACTATGTCGAAGCTATGAGTGACCAGAAGATCTCAATACACTGGATCGCTTTGACAAAAAAGCTCCTTGTTACAGTATCAGATAATCTTAAGCGGCTTCAACCTACAGTGAACACTCATCTGAACGCAATTGCTCTTTACCTCCACGTGCTGGTTGGTACATTTATGCAAAAGGTTGTTACCATCAGTCACTATATTTCTTGATGACTCTCCTCCTTCTAGTGAAAAATGTCAATCAATTAATTAAAAACACCGCTGTACAGCTTGAATCTAAGTTCAATTTTTCTTTTGTGTACTTTTACTTCTGTTGCTTTTGCTGCCTATATTGAACCGGCGTCGCCCCGAATATCGGCATTAGGTGACAATGACAAACGTAAACTCGTGGAAGCTTTGTGCACAGCTTGAGCCTTTAAAACCTGCTTTAAAACAGCTGGAGGGCAAATTCGTCGCTCATCTCTTTGCCAGTGGACTCTCGGCGAATCTTCGATATCTCCTGCTGGCGGCTGTAGTTCGCCAACGTCCTCTTCTGGGCCGCGCGTCGCTAACAGCAGTTGCGTCCCTGGCTTTACGACCTTTGGTCGACGCCAGTTCAACATTGGCAAATGCAGAAACTGGTGCTGGTGGTTCAAACCCGAACGTGGAAGAGGCGACAAATCTACTAATCATGCATTTCTTGTCTGTGCCTGCCGTTGTGCATCAGTTACGCTCAATTGCGCCGGATAGCCTTGTACTGTTACGTCAATATGATGTATTAGGTCGATCTGTCGTGTTACTAAGGAATACTCAGAAACTACGCATTATGTTCAATGCCCTTGAGGCAAGTTTTGCTTTGTGTTTGTTTGCGAATCTGGTTGATTTAGCTCAGCAAATGGCGTTAGAAGAACCGACGAGACTCGAATCGATGGCCGAAGGTTTCATCGCAGTCGCCACTACGGTGAATACTTAAGATAATGTTGGATAGCATCGTAGAGCGGTTCCAGACCTAAAACTCGAAATAATTTTTTATAATATAGCAGAGCAATCGTCTGACGCACGTTGTGTTTTGATAACTACCTTGAAATTTTTCGTTATGAATGTGTTGCGTTTTAACACGCGTACGGCATTTTAAGTCAGTTTCAGATTTTCGCAAAGTGTGCATATGGTTCAAATCTGTACTGTTATATATATATAGAATAAACAATATGAGCTGCCTGCACAGTCATGACCAGAAATCTTCATTAATCTATCCTTTTTAGATTCTTGAAAGCTGTCAACAATATGTGGGCAAGAAGCAGTCAGCGCTTAGTCATTATCATCCACTTTTGGGTTGGTTCTCACAGAAGGTAAACTCTGGCCACCAAGAGGTAAGCAGAAGATTTCATATCGTTACACTCACTAGCTATTGGCCGCATTCCGCTTGTATAGCCTATCAAGGAAATATGCTTCGCGTATGTTTGAACCTAGTTAAAAAAGCAAGTGAAGTTTTAATATATATATATATATATATATATATATATATCAGGAGATGTGAGAGCGATTTTTATAATTTAGAGTTTATCTCTTTTCTATTATATTCAGGTCATCCCTCACATTAAAACTCAGTTACAGCTTCTGTGGGGCACTACACTGTCTCAGCTGTTGTTTAAACCACTGTTCGTAATGCAATTTAAACTGGAGGACAGTCCGCCACCGCGAGTCGAAACTTCGGCTAAAGCTCAAATTAATGAGGTAATTTGCTTTTCAGATCTAAATTAAATATAGAGCGTTGATTATCAAGCGGTTATTAAAAATGGAATCGTACAATAAAACTTATGTGTCGCGTGCCATGTTGAAGTTGTGTCTATGTATTAGTACTTTTTAGTTAAACAGTTAAAGTATTCTGAATAATCTGAACGTTTGAAGATGGTAAATTCTTACTCTTTTCATGGACCTGAAACCTAAACTATGCTATAATGACAAATATTACAATATACGAATAAAAAGGTGTCATTTTGCAGGTGATTAACCTAATTCGCGGAAGCGGTTCCCGAAGCAATTCGGTTCTGATGAAAATCTCTAGTCCCGAAGTGAACAGTGTGGCTCTCACATGTAATCTATACGAGACAGCCATTGCTAGTCTAAGTGAGCTTCGACTCGATATTCTCACAGGACTGTCATTTCAGTCAAGCGATCTTCTACCAAGACTTTGGAGACTAATTAGCGCTCTTGGTGGACAGGCGTCAGGAAAAGCGAAAGCTTTCCTTGATTTGCTGCAGCAAAATGTAAAAGCAAATTCGCTTGAGTTCCAGATATTAAAGTTATTCTGCAATTGTACTTCGCATCTAATTGTCGTTCTGGACGACCGTGAACTTTACGAGGAACAACGACCATTTTCCCTTGCTGACCTGGTCGCTATATCAGCGTTTCTCAACATATTTCTTTACAAGATTATTGTTAATCAACTTCTTGATCTGAAATCATTGTCAAGCTGTCCTTTATTCACTGCCTCACACTCTTTGCTCATGCTACTATACCGACGGGATTCGCGAAGAAATTTTACCCCTCGTGATCACTGGCTTGTTAAAGCTAAATTTGCCACGCTCCTCACTGATTTGGAGAATGGCAAGCCCTGGGCACAGTTAGTGATTCAGAGGCTGCCCCACGTCTTACCTCACCGTGATCGCGTACAGTTATTCAGACGACGTGTCCAACACGAACGTATGTGCGTTCTGAATGGAGCCGAGTCTACCCATATCTCTGTATATCGCACGCGGATTGTCGAGGATGGCTTTCAACAATTGAACGCACTGTCACCGCAAGAGCTCAAAGGCACAATTCGGGTGCGTTTTGTCAATTTACAAGGGCTAGATGAGGCGGGTATTGATCAGGATGGTGTTTTCAAGGAGTTTCTTGAGGAAACAATCAAACGTGTATTCGACCCTGCCCTAAATCTGTTCCGTACGACAAATGAACAGCACCTTTATCCATCGGCTACGTCCTACATCAATGAGAACCACTTAGCATTGTTCGAATTCGTTGGCAAGATGTTAGCTAAAGCCGTTTACGAGGGCATTGTTGTCGATGTGCCATTTGCCACTTTTTTTCTCAGCCAGATACTCGGACACCACCAAAACATTCAATATTATTCGTATATTGATGAGTTGCCTTCGCTTGATGAACAGCTCTATTCTTCACTTACGTATGTCAAAAACTACAAAGGTGACGTACAGGATCTGTCACTCTTTTTCTGTATTGACGATGATTCGTTGGGAAGAATTGTCACTCACGAACTCGTTCCAGCTGGAAGAACTATGGCGGTCACCAATGAAAACAAAATTCGGTGAGTAGTCGATTTTACCCAAACAAAAATTCAAGTTTAGCTCTCATTTTTACGAATCAGAAAAACATAAACGTTTCATTTAACATTTATGTTTCTATCTTATTACAGGTACATTCACTTAACCGCACAGTATAAAATGCAGACTCAGATCGCTGAGCAAACAAAAGCGTTCATTCGTGGCTTTCGGTCCTTAATCAGACCAGAGTGGGTGGCTATGTTTTCAGCCCCGGAGCTGCAGAGGCTAATCTCGGGCGACGATACCGGAATTGATCTGGCGGTACGCCAGCAAGCATTTTTGTTTTGTTTGGTTCTGTGCTTTGTCGGTATGGCAGCATGTTTTTGTGGTTTTAGAAATTACATAAGATAAACGTTCGATCTTCTGATGTACGGCTACAATACTTCTAATTATATTCAAAATTTCCTAATGATAAAAATAAAGGTTAGGAACCAACTAACTGTTATGTGGATATTTGTGTATGTATACTTGCATTTAATTCCAGGACTTACGAGCTAACACCAAATACTTTGGTGGCTTCCATAATAACCACCGTGTCATAAGCTGGTTGTGGGACGTACTTCGAAGCGACTTTTCACCAGAAGAATGCCGTCTCTTTCTAAAGTTTGTGACATCGTGTTCCAAGCCCCCGCTGCTTGGTTTTGCCAATCTCGAGCCTCCTTTCTCTATTCGATGTGTCGAAGTCGCCGACGATCTGGACAATGGTAGTAAGGCCTTTATCAAACCTCATTACTTTATTTCATACTATAATGTAAAGAAGAAAGGTGTGTACAGAGCAATTTAGCTTAACTTATCTACATCCATAAGTGATCACTAGGAATAAATATGTTTGCATACAAAGACTTTAAGGTGATTATTTTTTAGCTGAAGCAATTAAAGAGGTCAGCTTGCTATTTGAAGGTCTATGTTGTTGGCGCCGGCAGTGACCTCAGAATCGTGATCGTTCTAGCATGGAGAGTTCAACACAAGGAAAAAGAAAAACGGAACAAATATCTTTGCTTTGCTTTTAATTTCTCTCGGTGAATCGGAGAACCAAATTCCGTTGCAAACAGCGTAATGGGTTATGCATAGATTCACTATACCAAAAAAGGGCGGATTTGCGTTTTGAAAGGTTATCTTGACTGGTCTATTTTTTCCATGTTTGTTAGGTGATACGTTGGCCTCGTTTATGCGAACGTTCTTCCGAGTTCGTAAGAAAGATCCTGTTGATCGTCTGCCAACATCATCAACTTGCTTTAATCTTTTGAAGCTGCCGAACTATCAGCGCAAGGATACCTTACGGGATAAACTTCGCTATGCCATATCAAGCAATACAGGCTTCGAGCTTTCCTAAATGTTATTATTAATAGTACCAATTAGTGGGCATTACCAAGAGCTGAAATAGCCATACGTTTATCTGAGATGGCAGTAGACACTGTCAAGGCTTACGCCAACAAACAGTTACAGACGGATTATGCATTAAAGATTTAATTATAACATTTAGTTCTGAAGTTAATACTTTCATTAATACTAAGGATCGTCAGAGATTAAAACATCTTGTCGTAATATAAAGCTGTGCGGTTCTATTAAGTTTGAATTGAAAAAAAGGTATTTCTCGTAAATAAATACCTTGCCTTGAATCGTCGAGCTATAGGGACGTTGTTAGCGTATTTCTATTTTGACAAACGCGTATTGCGTCTTCGAGCATGCCTACTGGCGCTCCAGCGTGATAGCAACACATTAATTAAATTTCTGAAATGAATGTCTTCAAAGGATGTATTCGATTAAAGCTAAAGCTAATGAAATTAATTAATCCTCACATAAAAGGACAGCACTTAAAATCAGCACGAACTTTTTTTGACATGCGGCGCTTTTTACTCCAGTTTTAAGAAGTTTAACCTAAAAACTAATTCATGCAGAACAGCTTTTATCACCTTCTGAAACGTGTCCTGACGTTGTACATGTCATAATCTGCCGTGGCAGGACGACGAAGGTTGAATAATCTTGTAACTACAACTAACTGTAAGACAAAATGTTATAACTACAGAACACTAAGGCTGAACCAATATTCTTTATGACGAACAGAGCTAAGCGGCAGATTAACCCAAAATCCAGACCAAATGTGATGGTAATAAATATAAGCCCCGCAGAAGATGTAAATGTGCCCTATATTCTTACAAATCAAATTTTTACCACATTCTAGCTGGCTGAATAATTGAAATGGGTATGCTGCTGATAAACTCCAAATGGTTCTAACGCGGGGTTTGTGTAGTTAATTCCTAAAGCCTTAATTCGTTTAGGGGGCCTCAAAATATTGGTCAATTAACAAAAAAACGAAGTTTTAAAAGCGAACTTCAGTTTGCTATAGGCTTGAAATCAACCTGTTTCAAGATACAATAATATTTATTATTCTACGAATCATACATTTTGCAGAAGAACACTATTGATAAAAGCAGATAGATTATGTGAATTAACGGCTTAGCAATCTCTCAGAAGCCGATCTAGATGTTAACATAATTATCTTTTAGGCCAATATCACGGCCTGCAAGCTGTTATTTAAGCAGTTTATTTATGTGAGAATGCAATTACAATTTATGTTTGTTCAATTGGCATTGGGTGAACGAACGGGAACAGGCTAACCAAGAAAGCCGCATACAACACACATATAATATTTTTTCGTGAACCATGAAAAGAAGATGAGAAATACTCTTTTTATTTGTTTTCGAATCGGTGAACGTCAGAAATGTTTCTAGCTAGATTCTTACTAAAACATTTCTAGGTTTGTACACTTGGAGACTTACTTAGGTCGTAAATAGCTGACGCATATACAAAGCTCTGTCTGAAAAGTGGTCGCTACACCAGATGATATAGAGGAGCACAGGCATATGGGAGAGATGGATATCGACATGTGGCTTCATTGTGAGTGCTTCAAATGTGAACTAAGACAGAAGTCCGGTCAACGACATATATTCTGCTAATCCTGTCAACGACATATATTCTGCTAAGGATATGATTATTTATATTAGACCTTTTTGTCTATTATATTCGGTGCAAGTTTGTTCGTTTCCAAACTGCCTTACATGAATAATCATATCTAAATCGAGTACAGAGCGTACAACTACTATAGATGTACAGGCTAATTTGAAGCGCATAGTCGCATCCAGAAATCTAATAAATGAAAATTAAAGACATTACTTATGGGTAAAAGAAAACTGTTCAAGTGTACTTTTTTTTGTTGTTTGATATCGATAAACACATGTTTAAGGGCACAAGTATGTGCCCTTAAACATGTGTTTGTATGTGTAAAACATGTGCTATGTATGTGTATTTTCATCACATTTTTTTATTAAAAAGCACACCTCTAAAAACATTCATGATTCTTATAAGCCATATATATTTATTCAAAGAAACTTTATCATTCGAAATTTTCGAAAGCCAAAGTGGCTAGCACTTCTAGCCTTCCGGACTGGGATTGCACTTTTGCTTGAACTGCGAATTTAGCGTTTTTGGAACACCTTAGAGAATAGTTTCTATTACTTATGCATACATCTGCATCTACATGCAAAGTGTACATCGCCAATCTACGATACACACTGCGTGTATCGTACTACTCACAAATCTATGCATTCTGCTTTATTTGCCCTTTTAGTTGACCCTCTTACTCTTTAAAATTGGTGCGCGCGAATTAAAAATTCAGCTGTATGATTAAACTTTTCTGTCCGCTGTAGCGGCGTAAGGAAAGCTTAATTCTTTCTTTTACAAGCCACCAGAGTCTACAGACAACCGATACAAAGATTTTTTTCGAAGTGCGCTCAGTGTAGTTCACAACAACTATGTCTACTTCTCTGACTAGTTGGAACACGTCGAGTTTCGGGATTGATTTAAGCTTTTCTTTGCGGCATCTAGCTATCCAATGCGTCTCCCACATATTTAGGTGAAGTATTACAAACATGGGGCCGAGTTTAGCATCACACATTAACTCCAAATGTAATTATCAATATAGAAAAAGCATCATTAGGAATTAAACTAGTACTTTTCAGTTCACATTAAGCAAATTGAATATGTATCCTGCGCGGTTAAATAAACCAATGGCGATAAGTGAATCGGACCATATATATTTTGTAGAAAAATAAAACGAAGGGTAAATAAAGTTAAAATTTACAAGTAAATAGTACAGCACGATAACATAAGCTTATGAAGAAATGAAAACGCTTTAATCGACTGGTAGTGGTACGTTCAGCGTTAAGCAAATGTATGTTCAGGGTTTTTTTTTCACTATCAATTTTTTGGCGTGCAACAACTTCATGCACAATCAGTGCTTTTTGCGCCAAAAGCTTATCGTTAACGATATTTCAGGAGAAGTCCATTGATGTAAGAGCCAGTAATCTTTGCGGCTACTCTACTAGGCCTTACCAACCTATCCATCTGGTTGGCAGTTTCCAGTCCAAGAACCTACATGCGTTTTTAGTGATGTGGCGGCGCTCCGTTCTGTTAAGAAAAGGTATCACAATCATGTTGTTATTTCATCTGTAGCTGAATCATATCCGGTAGCATATAGGATACAGATTTTTGAGTTGTACGAAGAAAAAGAGGGCAAATCATTCCTTGACACGAAATGGTCATCCAAACACAGGCTGATTAAGCTGCCGTCTTAAACATAGGTAGGCATATTACATAATAGACAGAGCTGTGTTGATTTACAGAATCTGTGAGTTCAAAATCAACTTCATCAAACCAAACTAAATTCACAAAAAAAGATACTGTAAACATTGATCTAGATCATCCTCTAGTAAGCCATGAAATAATCTTGGCCGATACGTTTTCAAATCAAGTATTCCAGAACGCCGCAAAGATCACAGGAAAATACCTATCTTAAGAGAAGCCCTGCACGTGAATGCTCCAGTGTTTTTAATATATGTGTGATACACTAACATTTGATTTTCTTCGTATATAGCGGTGGGCTATCTACTACTTTTCAGGGCTTCGAGATGGATCCAGCAGCTTCAAACTTGCCAAATGTTGCGCAGATTGTTGGTCCTGACAGTGGCATTGCTCCGAGGTCTTGAAATAACTTTTCCGTACTTCTCGTCTGCCACCTGCCACGTTGGTTTGACGATCTGTTTGCGTTCATTGTTGATTAGACCCAAGTTAGAATAATCAGTTGTCAAAACTTACAATAGCACGGAAAAATCAAATTAAATGACTAAGTAAGCGTGAAATATTTGACTAGTGCTACTGACGATACACCACTACACCAAAAATTATCATATAATACTTTGAAAAAAAGATGCAGAATTAGAAAATGGGCCGTTAAAAAAATTAAAAGTTGTTGATTATAAGATGGGGCCCGTCGATTATTTTGTTTTGCTTTTTTCGGAGGTCAAAACAGGTTATATGAGAAAGGTAATAGGCGTCGCACTATTCTAATTAATCTAAAATAAACATTGAGTTCAATAACAGGTAATCCAAATACTTACAAAGAGAACAGATAAGTGCAGAGGAAACTATATAACAGACAGGCTTAGAATAATGATCGGTGAAACTCAGTTTATATAAGCAGAGTGTGCACTGCCAAATGTTTTTACTTACGTTTGATATTATCAAAAAATTCTCTGTTACAATAAATAGGATATTGTCGATAAAGAGGAACTTGTTGTTTTATGGGTGGCACTTTTGTCACACTAAGAGCAACATCCTGACCACCACACCAACACCGCTTATTTTCTTCGCTGCTTTGTACGATTCTATCGAACTGCATCGCAAATCTCGTTGCGGTTATAGAGAGCCATGTATTTTTTTATATCATCTTTATGCGCCTAGTAGAAACATCTCTTGGTCACTAGGGTTACTTAGTAGATACCCACATTTTTTTCAGTATTTGATTTACACCTCAGCCTCCACAGAAAAAGGGACACACAAGATATTTCACGAAAAGTTATTTAGTTACCGTTTTTAAGGTAGCCAAAAATAACTATGAATGTAATTACACACTATTTTCAATTTGCCTAAAAAAACTGTGAGACCTATTGAAAATAAATTCCTACGGTTTGCCTGGTAGGCAGATGCGTTCTAGGTCCTAGCGTTTTTGACATTCAACCTTAGTTGAACCTTCTTACTTCGTTTAGAGTCAAGTAAGAAAACTTTACTTCAACCACTCTTTTGTATTGAAGAAAAAATGCATGCTTATTTCAAAACATGATACATTTTTTATTATTTGCTATATTTTGCCTGTGTTTGACCTTTAGTATCTTGGAGTATGCTGAGCCTAAAGTTTTTACTTCGTTTAGAATATTTAGTAACATGGGCGTGTACCAATACAGACTTGTTTTTTTCTTTTTAACAGAAAATTGACGGCAATTCTAACTTAAAATTAAATGATGTAACGAACGCTAATGTCCACATTTTGATCATGGTTTCACGTAGAAGATGAGGCCGCCAGCAAAAAAATTTGCCGCCAGCTTTCTACGTATAAATTAAAAGTAAATTTTTACAATCACACTTGATGCTCAAAGCATTATTCAGCGTATTCATTAATCAATAAGGTAACACATTCCGTTGATTTTGAAAAACTTCGTTAGTTTTGAAATGCAATCAATTTTGTCGAACTGTGTGTGGTTCGCTCCGTGCAAATACAAATAAAAAACTTTCCCTATTTGCCTTTGTCGAAGTCCGTGCACATCATATTACAATAAAAGAAAAAGTTTAGATATTGTGCACTGGATGTCATGGCGATAATTCAGGGTTTTCTTAACAAAGTTATCCATGAATAAAGGCATGGAAAGAAGTGGATGTGACCTAATTCATATCAAAGTTGAGAATAATGATTCAACATATTTTATAGCGATTTACAAGCGGAAGTGTCGTCTCTCTTATTAAAAATGCACAGGAATCAACTAATGGTCCAACTATTATTGAAGCTTTTCTTAGATTCCCTCTACTCCCTGAAACAGTTCGCCTTACACGTGGATTAAAAAGTTAGCGGCCATGTTATTATAGAGCTATGCGAGTGTTTAGTGGACCTTTTCAGATTTCGAACGAGCGCCCTGATTCAAGCAATGGCGTTGTAGCAAAACAATCAAAGCAAGACAATTCATCCATTCTGCCATATGACAGTCGGCCGCGTTCGTTCGGAGTCAAGCATCGGAGAGAACAGTTACAACTAAAACGATTCATATTGATTTGATTTAGCACGATACGTCTGCGAGTGCGACATTTACAGTAATGTTTTTTTTCGCGTTATTGAGGTAAGCGGCAACTCATTGACTTTGAGCGATCATATTGATTCATATTGCTATTATAAGGGCTTGCTAAGCTCTTTGAACAAATGGTGAAGTGTTTTAGACCACTTGGTTTTGGTTCAAGTAGAGCTTTGCTGTTGAAGTGCCGCGACTGTTCGAGCAAACTGGAGACAGAGAAGTGTTTAAAAGTTGTTAATATGTTAATTGACCAAAATGCTTGCACCTCTACGATTGTTGTTACACTATGAAGTAACCTGTGGCAGTATTCTATACAAGTACAGTGGTCAGCGTAGTGGACAGCTGGCCGAGCTTACACATGGCGAGACCCTGTAAGTTCGGAAGTAAAAACTTACCCAGCAAATTTTTTAGTTCAAGACATGTATTGCTAAGGTTTACGAGTCAATCTGTCCATGGCTGTTCATTAACGACCTCTCAAGAAAGGCTATACTACAAAAGTCGGCTAGTAGTCCCGAAAACCACTACGGGATCTAGAAAACGACCGGAAATCTCCTATACGTGAACTGGTTCTAAATACATTTTTATCTAGTTCGTAGCGCTCTAGGTTGTTGTTACTATCCAAAAAACTGGTGACATACGAACCAGAACTCGTTCAACGACTGCGTTTGTTGTGGTCATTGTTGTATCGAAAACTGTGCATTATTGAGTTACCGGTGTTTCTCATTTGGTGTCAAAAGTGAAGCTTTTATTAAGCTCATACACAAGAACAACAGGTACGTGAAAATCTAGATGATAAAACTTTTTAATACTTTGACATATCAAGCTATTTATACCAAGGTAGAACATTTTGAATAGAATAATAATATCTGGCTCCGACACAGTGAGCTAATGATCTAAAACTAAAGTGATCTCAAGTTCTTTTGGTACACAGAAGGTCGAAACCAAGACTGAACATCGATTCGATATCAATACGTCGCACTAATTTCTGTTTAAACAATTAAACTTATCGTATATTATACTTATTGCGATTTGTTCTGGCTAGTTCGTTTCTATTTATTTGTAGAAGATGATTGACGGCTGTTCATGGAGATTTTATTGAGAGCGGAAAACTATAGGCATTCAGTTGACTTAGTTTAAGATGCGGGGACATTCAGGAAGCGATTAATCATGTCGTACACCGTCCGCTTCTCTTTTTGGGGGTCGCTATTTATACAACGCCTTGACTTGATATAGTCTTCATCATATCCAATTTTTTTTGGCCGCACCGCAGCCCTACCTTGACCTGCATAGTTTCTGATGAGGCGTGAAAAGGATCAACTGGCTGAGTTGCAATTTTAACATTAATTAGCGTTCCAATGCATGATTGTTTTTAATCTAAGTAAATGAATGCACTAGGTAAATTATTAGTGAGCAGTCTTACCTATTTAGTATAAGACTGCACACCAAAATACAAAAAAAATGCTTTCGGAAATCGACGTGAACCCTTTTGTATGAAGTGGTTAGATGCACTAAAATTATGTGTATGTAATGCCAAGATTACTACTGCTATTGCGTGCCTCAATCGTCTTAATGTTTGTATTGATTTCCTTTGAATAATTCCAGCGACAATTAAATACTCCAGTAAACAAGGCCCGAAGATGAATGTTCCAATCGTAAGCTCAGCAGGCACCAGCTTTGGTAAGTTTTCCACGAAACCCAATACAATATATGCGAAACAGGGAGGCTAGATTAGGCAAAGATCATGGTTTACCTTATACCTTTTACTTTTCTTGTTTTAAAAATAAATCACTTTTAAGGTGTTTAGTCGCTACTAATATGTCAACGCTATAATTGCCAACTCAATCAATCGGACTAGTTTGTGCACTCTCCCTTAGAATCTCCTTCGGAAGTTGATGAACATGTTTATTGGTTTGCTCGTGTTTCGTGCCCATTTTATATGAAAAAAATCGATGAAAATCAAATAGAGCAACTGAGTCTTTTGGAAAACATGACTTCAAAATTTCAAGTTTGGTTTTAATTGTAATGAAATCATCGTGTGTCCGCGTCTCGTGTAATGCTGCAGTGCTGTCCCAACCGACAATGAGTCCTCATAGCCAAATGGCTCCACCGGACGCTCCAGCGACATCGACACCTACAGCTCAACAGGTATAATTATCATTTCAGTGTAAAGTCAAATTAGAAGGGGTTAAAGCAAACTATTGCTGTCATTTTTAATAGCCAACAAAAGTACTTTTTTGGGATATAGATAAGTTTGTCAGGTAACATACCTGACTATTACGCAAATCGATTTCAGAAATGATGTCAAAGGTACCAAAACTGTTCAGCACATCAGGCGATCCGATCCGTACATTGGCGAGTCGTACAAAACAAAGTCCTTCAGCATGGTTTGCTAATACACAACTAACTATTTGAAATGCTGACGCTCAGGTGATCGTTAACCAGATAGTGGCGACATCTCCCTTGTTCAATTTAAATTAAACAAGTTAAAGCGATTTTATTTTCTGTACAGATGGCTATATCAACACCTCCGCACGTTGCAAGTCCTCATATGGCATCGTCACCCGTACCGCAATCGCCTGCTACCAGTATTCAGTTTTCGCAGGGGCCCACCTCTGTAGGTGCTGTTATATCCCAGTCGCCTACAGTTATCCAAACAATGGCTCAAGGAGGCACCACCTTACAAGTAAATGTAACCACCTTGAATATATTACCCGTACAGCCTCTATGTTTCGAGTTTTATGTCCGGTATCGCCGTTAGGCATTTCATCTGGCGGCTGACTCCCAGAACGAAGCGGAGTCTGTGTATGCTCGGGTTCGAATCTAGACCACAACATGTTCCTAAGACCCGCACAATCTACCATCACATATAAGTGATTCGTCGCTCCTGTATGGAAATGTTTTCTTCATACTTAGTACCGTTATATTAAGTATATTTTTTATATGGTACCGCACATGAGTTAACAGTGCAGTATGCATTTACTTGACTCGACTTTAAATCGAATTTCTTTCTCGTAAGCCTCCAGATGACATACTGTTATCATGCCGCTTCATAGGTTTATTGGAGAAAAACCTGGATATGTCCAATAAAACCTATTTAGAGTAATGCCTAATAGCTTAGATACTGAACGTAGAGACTCCAGACTTAGGGGTAAAATAGAGCATTCCGGTATTAATGTTGTGTGTTTTTGTTTTGAATTGTTCTCTTCACTGTCATATGCGATTATGTAGTTCAATTCGCAAATGCCGGTTCTTCAACAGGGCACTCTAAGTCCCGCCGGTTATATCCAGCCGCTGTACCAAACAACGTCTACCGGACAACAGCAGATGCTATTATCTCCTGCAAGCAGTTTGGCTATACAACAACAATTAGGACAAGGTCAAATCACAGTGATGGCAGGCCCCCAGACGCAAAATACGCAACAGAAAATAACACAGGATAGTCAAGGTAAAACGGTATTGACCAGTGTGGCAGCCGGCCAAGCAAATAAAGGCGCCCAAGTGATTACCAGTCAAGCTGGGACTGTCTCCGCCGTTGGCGGAAAAATGACGGTCGCAGCGAGCAACATCATGGCTGGTTTGGCTGGCGCGCACAAAGGAAGCCCTCAGCCAACCGGGCAGATTGTTACCGGTGTTGCGCCTCAAGCACAATTTGTCACTCAGCCGGGTAACAACGGTCAGACACTTCTGATTAGCCCTTTAAGCATGCTTGGCGCTCAAGGCGGTATGGTTCAAAGTATGGGCGGCATGCTTCAGGCGGCTCAGTCGCCACAAGGTCAGGTAGGAAAAGCTGGCCAAGGTCAGCAGACACAGGTGGCGCACAAATTTCTGCCGGCACAGCAAAAAGGCACCCACAATCCCGCTTCATTACAACTCGCCGGACTTCCACCAGGAACACAGTATCGCCACCTCAGTTCCGCCGGACAGCAGCAGCTAATTGCTGGTCAAGTAGGCGTTGGCCAGGTGGGCACTGTTGGTCAGCCAGTACTAGGCCAGGCGCAGACTATACTCGGCTCACTTCAAACGTTCAATGCGTTTGGATCTGGTCTTCCTTGGGGTCCAGGGCAGTTGTCGGGTCAACCTTTGCTACAATCGCCTATCCTTATTCGAAACCAACACGATGGCAGCGTATACATTCAAAGTGCACCGGCGCCCCAACATGCACAGCAACAACACCAACTACAGCAAGCAACAACGACCACAGTTCAGGTCCAGCCTCAACAATTACAGAATACTGCAGGACCGGTAGGTTTCTACAGTAGTATGTTTTCGTCTTCTTTTTCAGAAATGTGGAAGAGATTTCAGCCCGTTAGAAATTTCAATGGTTTATTTACAATAAATAAGTTGGTGACTAACAGGATTAGCAATTTTCGAGGGCGTAGTGAGTAAATGGCTAGTTAACGAGCTTATCAATAGTAATCAAATCATATCCACAGCAGGTACATTTCAAGTTTTCTCGTTACAAAGTTGTTATGACCGACATTAGTTGTAGCGAAGATTTATTTTTTAGAATAATTGCTTGTCGGCTGTCAACAATTATATTTTTATTTATATTATTAATTATCATGTTATATGATGTTTATTGCAATTGCCCCGGCAGCTAGGTGGACCTACAGGCGTACCTACAGTTCAGCAAGTGCAGGCGGGCGTCGCAGGCACAGTTTTGCCCGGCACGGTCATGCATCATGCTGGAGGTGTACCGACGCTTGTGCAAGCTCAACAGCCTCCTTCAGCGCAGCAAACGCCTCAACAGACACCATCAGCTCAGCAAGCGCCAACCTTAGGGCAAACGCCTCCGCCGGGTCAGCCAGGAGGGGCTCAACAAATCACCCAACAAACTACTGTAGCAACGGGGACAGCACCTCCACCAGCTGCTTCCCCCTCACACCCACATGGAGCCTTCCAGTCAATGCAGCATCTCTCAGTTCGTACTAATTCATAATTATTTATTTCGGCTCGTTAGTAACTCCTCGAGCAGCTCAGAGTACATTTACTGTGTGATAATCCATTACGTGAATTTATTCTTTTGTAAAAAGAGAAACCACTCAACACCCCTTCTTTCGTAAACCTGAGTCATATTTATATTATTTTTCTTTACGCATTTTATCATCGTACAGGTTCAAGCAAATGGCCAGGTCGTCACAGCCGTTCAAAGTCCAATGCAGGCAGCTGTTGCTCCTCGTGTGCAGCGCCCGATAACAGTAAGTTTAGTTGAATAAAATACTACACTGGATAATTTATCAACAATAGTAAACAACGCTGCATTATTGAATTCAACAAGGTAAGGATGCTAAGAAAAGAAGTACACATTACAAAATGGGCAAATTGTATAATGCTGATATCGACCCTTTACTTCCTAGAAAAACATAATATCTATGTGATACGCCATCCGCTTTCTTTTGCTGATACAGATTAATGAAACAAATTGGGCTATATCTAAATGTCCACGTATTTTTGTAGTCTCAGCAGCCATCAGCGGCCGTTGGAGTTAAAGTGTCAGCGGGTTCGCGTAACGTACGAGGTATTGCTGCGCGCCCAGCCAATGGAACAGGTTCAGGTGGTGCAACGAATGCTGCAACACCGCCTAATTCCCAACCGCCAACGCCTGGCCCTGCGGTGACGCCAACCACTTCGGCTGATGCCGAAAATATCAAATCGATGTCCGTGACTCAAACTGGTTCGTTGGTCGATGACAAGGAACACGACGTCAGTATTATTATGGACACAAGTTCCGTTCCCAAAGCGGTGGCAGCCGGCGCGGACTCGAAGCCTGTTGCCACAACAATCAACATTCCGGTACGACTAGGTCAAAATTTACGTATTCTTCTTCCGAGTTTATATTGTGCAACATGTCTTTGACCTTTTTATTCAATTATCCGTGCAATTTGTTAAGTTAAAATGTGTTCACTATACAAGTTCAACTGTTGGACCATTGTTTTCTATAAAGGTTTATTGTGCGTTTCACATTTAAAACTTCAGATAATCACTCATTCTTTATAAAATATCATGATAAGGAGACGCGGTACCTGGTATAGCGACACATTTGAAATACTAAAGTTGCATAGGAATGGTTAATTGTATCTTTAATTAGGCAGGCGCTGGCTTATACATAATCTCAAATATTTTTCTTAAGTAAAATAAACATAAGCTGGAAGCATAAAACAGGTTTTTGGCATTCAGGAGAGTCAAACGGGCAGTCCGCTCATCGGCGCGACGGTTGGTGTTCCCAGCTCGGCACACTCTGTACTGAAGGATCCACCACCAAATTCGTCTTTACACCCAGGTGCCGCAGTTCAAAATCTTGAACTTGTTCAACAACCGATTACAACGGTTCCAGTGGTAAGTAGGCTAACAGCAAACTGTATTTTGGATAAGGAAATTGGCACTATCTTACTATGTGTTTGCAACGAGAATAGTGCGTTTGTGGAAAAATGATAGGCACACCCGTTACGCCCAGGAACCCATTTGCTGTTCAACTTCTCAATTTCTGGACACTGTACCCTGCTGTCAAGTTTGTCAACTGCTTAATGTGCAACCAATTGACCCCGTAAATTGCCTTTGTCTAGAATTTATCGTACTCACGTTTTCTTCGGGCTTCAAGGTGACACTTCCTGACGTCCTTGATGTGCCAGAAGGAAACTCTGCATCGCCTGCGATCGGCGCACCATTCCCAGAAGATGCGGGTAATGTGCCAGACACAATTGAACAGGCGTCAGAGATCTTGACGCACATCATAGAGGGTTATGTAATTCGTGAGAGTTCAGAACCTTTCCCTGTGAGTCGAAGTGCTCTGCTCAGCGAGATGATCCGGCGCGAACAAGTATGTGCTGGCAGTAAGGAGCGCAAACGTAAATTGGAAAACAACAATGCCAATAAAACGGTAGCCGCCACGACGACGGTCACCTCAGCAGCAACAGCGATAACAACAACGACGACGACGACGACGACAACCACAACAACTACAACGACCACGACGACGACAACAACAACAACGACATCAACTGGTGGTAAAGCTGTTGTGACAAGCAATTCAGCAACAGCAAGTACCACCACTTCAACGAGCTACACCCTCAGCTCTGGAACAGCTGCGGCAGCTGCTGCTGCCAATCTGGGTCTCGGAATCGACCAACTCGGCCTAGACAGTGGTACGAAGTCGAGGCCCGCTGAGTTGGCAAAGGATACCAAAGAAACAAGCACAGCAGGAGCGAACCTAGCTAGACCAGCGGAAAATATTTCCGAAAATCAAGTGAGTAAAAGGACTTTGTCGAACGGATGTAGTATGTTAGACTAACACACGCATGCTAATCAAGCATGTGGCCTGTGCATAGCTGGCCTTCTGGTGCTGTATGTACCATTAGTTTTTACAAAATTAGGCCTTCTTTTATAAATGCAGTTATCTTTTGGAGCCCATATTCTTTTGCAACTAATATATGATGAAAGTAAGACAGATCTAGAACAGATAAACAAAACATACTTGCATTTACTTCTTAGCCGCAGACTACTGACTCTCGAGCGACTGCCGTGGGACTGGCCCAGCCGGATGCCGCGGCGGGATCCGGCGGCGGCGATGCGGACAGCGTTGGTGCACTTAACCGAAACCCATCGGAGTGGAACGTTCAAGATGTATATGAGTTTATCAAAAGTGTACCAGGATGTGCAGCGTATGCTGAAGAATTCCGCGCACAGGAAATTGATGGCGAAGCGTTGATATTCCTTTCTACCGAGCGGCATTTAATGTCTCAAATGAACATGAAAGTTGGTCCTGCAGCGAAAATCTATGCTCGCTTAGCTCAGCTTCGCAGCGACTACGGCATATAGAGACTACTGATACGCTAATTGACTATGGCAGCCTTACAGCACTTCAAACCCTTATAACTTTCGTGATAATAGACGAAACAAACGTAATAGTACCTTATACAGGTTTTATTAGCAATAGATGACAATGCTATATTTAGAGAGTTTTAATGATCAAATTATCAATAAATTCGAAGCAAACAGGAGAAAACAAATCAAGCCTCGAACTATAATAGGAGGCTGGAGGCCTGTAACTTCTATGCAGTCGTGTAGCAGGACTTGACATCCATGCCATGACATCTTTGTAGCGTGTCGCAAAGGGTAAACCGTGCCCTGCTGGTTTACTTTGTGCTTACGAAGCTATAATACATGTTAGAGAGTTCATTATACTGACGACTTCCAGTATTTAGTGACGTTGTAGCACTGATCAAGCGCATAGGCATCCACTTGTGCCCGTGTTTTGAGCGTCATGTTTCTGCCAATGCCTCAGTGTCTGAATGGTCAGTCACTTTCATGTACATAAATATGAATGAAATTCGCAGATAATTTTCCGTCCCGTCTGCGCTTATCTGTGTGCATATAATCTACTATATATATATATATATATATATATATATATATATATATATATGTGTGTGTGTGAATGGATTATTACCGCTTTAAACAGATGTTCTATGTAAACATTAATAAGAACAAACGTATAATATACATTATACGCAAATATTTAGATGAAGGCTGATAGAAGTTATACAAGCACATATCTACATTAAAGTATAT